TGTAACATTGTGCATTTGCTATTCCAACTTGATGGACATGTACGTGATGTCTGATTGAAAAAGTAAAATTGTCTAAAGAAAATTCACGTGGTATCCGGTAGGGGCATCGACCATGATCAAATTACGTGGCGATTGTTCAAATTACATAAATCCATTCTGATTTTGCTAAATAAATAAATTTTATGAAAGTCGATAAAAGTTATGCGTATCATAAAATATGAAGTTGAAATTGAGTTTGAGTTTGAAGAAAAATGAAAGCTAAATAGAGGCTAATTGTTGCTAATTTTAGAGAATTTTGTCCTCTAATCTGACATTATGCATATGTTGCGTGGCCATTTAACAATTAACTAGACTTTCTAGTAAGTTGACATGCAGCAAAATGGTGTTAAAAATGTTGGAGACATAATTGCTATAAATTGAAGGTTGAGGATATGATTGTCAAACTAACAAAAATGGGGGACCTTTGGATAAATTTACCTTAAAATATGCTTCCCTTACGTTGACGACCATGCTACATATACATAAATGTTGACATATTGACTTACATTCATGTGAATTGTCAGATTTTAGTACATTGATCTTAACAACGCATTTTTTAATCAATTATCAGATTTTGACATGTAAGATGGTGTCGATCAAGGTGCACACTTCAATTATGCTTGGTGTATACTTTATGAGTAATGCTATTCATTTCCACCGGAGTTGAGCTGCAGTCTATGTGGTAATTATATGGTATTGCCGCTGTTTGGCCCCCATTATTTGGCATTTTTGAGGGTTGAAAATTTTTGGAATAGTGATTGATGGGAGAATGTGTGATGGAAAAGTAATGAAAATTTTTAGATTTGTGTGTAATATTTATTTTTATTTGATGAATGTGTGGTTGTAATAAAGAGAAAAAAAAATTTAATGTAATGTAATTTAATTTAATGGGGGCCAAACATGGACTAAATGATAGATTCATTTAAATACAAAGTCACATGACTCATTTAATTAAATATATCATTTAATGCCATGTAATTGTCACATNTTTAATGTCATGTAATTACCACGTAAACTATACTCAACCCTAACATTATTCATACTTTATTGTATACCTTTGTTTAAGTTCATTTGCGTGTGATTTGTCATCTTAAAAATAAGAGTAATGTTATTCATCCCAATGAAATTACAAATACAGTTTAAGTGACTTTAAACGGTAAGTCAAGTGAAAGGTGAAATTAAAACACCTAAACTGTGTTTGTTAAATGAAAAGTGAATGAAGTCATCTAACTGTATTTGTAACATATGGGATGAAGAGCATTGCTCTAAAAATAATTCACATCC